TGCAAGAGATTGTATGGATTGTAATGTGATTGTGGTTCCTCACACTAATGACTAGGGATGGCACGACCCCTGGGTAAGTGATGCTATAGGGAGGGCGTGACCCTGGTATGGTGTGGGTTGAGTGAGGCAATTAACCCGTATCACTTGTGTCAGATGTGGCGAGGTCTTGGCATAGTGTTAATTGTAAGATTAGCGTGAATTATGGATGTGGAAATGATATTGTTAATTGTAAGATTTATGTGGATTGTGATGGATTGATGTATTTGTGAATTGAGATGTGAAGATAATGAGAGATTGATAAATTGTGATATAAATATATATACTTGTAAATAGTTTATTAAGTAATGAGTTGTGATGAGATTACATGGTGTTGTGTTTGTATGTACTTTGCATATAGATATTTTCTTTTCTCACCGTATAAATTGTAGATATTTTAGGTGAAGATCCAGCTGCAAGTGGCATCTAGAATGCCAACGGTTATATTATGGGAAATGCTCTGATATTGTGACATCGGGGCAGAGAATTTCTAGGACAAAATATTTATATGAATTTGAAATTGTAATATTATTTTGAAAACAATTTGTAAACTCCTAAATTTTATCTTTCAAGTTTTATTTTCAATTATTTTGGATATTGAAGAAAGAACAGTTATGAAATTTTATGTGAACCCTTTTACCATCTTTGAAAGTTTATTTTTTTAATTTAATTATATTATTTCGATGTATGTGTTGGGGTAGTAAGGGTGTCACAATATAATCAATTTTGGAGGTTTTTGCAGATAAGGTAATTAAACCTTTCCTTTTTGGCAACATAGAGAAAAATTTACTTATGACATTCTCTTGGATTTTTCAGCTCTTTCTTCATACCATAATTGGGCACTGCAATAGCAGCACTCTATACATGGTTCTCCAAAATTTAAAAATTCTGATACAAAGAGTGAAATCAGATGTATATAATAAGGAAAATGAAATTTACAAAAGTACATAGTTAATGTAATAAAAAAAATCACCTAGAATTTCAAATTCTGCATATAACTCTGATAAAAAGCAATCATTCTTGTTTGGTTCTGAGAAATTATCTGTCAATATAGAATAATGTGTTTCAAAGTTAAACAAAAATAATATATGAAACACGGTTCAGATTTTTCAGTAAATGTTACTAACAATCATGTGTTACACATTTTTTAAATTGCACGACTTAAATTCATTATAATATACTAACCCTCTGTATGCAACTCTTCATCAAAATTCAATAACCTCTTTTGTATAGATTGAAGAACTTCAAGAGGTTGGCTATAAGATTTGGCACAATTATTACCACTGCATAAATTGATTACCTCTGATCTAACTACATTAAACACAAACCACATTTACAAACAAATTAAGTAACAAAAGAAGATATAATTTTAATATTCATTCCAATGTCAACTTTATGTTTTGTGCTTACCGAAATAACTAACATTAGCTAAATTTTGATTACAATTTTGAATGATAACACTATTTGAAGGAGAGATAAAATATGGTACATCAACACCAGAATCAACATTTGTTGTCTTTGACTTTTGTATTTGTGATTGCTTGTTTCACAGCGGTTCACAGTATCGACATTGCCTATGAAAACCAAGAAACCACAGTTAAATGAGAACAATTTTTTATTAGTAAATTTAAAACCCTAAACAACATAGAATAAAAGTTGTGAAATCAGTATATACCATTAGATGTGGATGATAATGGTGTTCTAGTTGTATTATTTCTTCGTTCATCGTCCACAAATTGATAGCTTCCTATTAAACTTGTATTTTCATCTGCAACAAAACATTCTTGAGCATTTTGTAACTCATTTAAGGTAATATGCATACAGATGACATAAAACACAGTCTTGGTTGGCCAAAAAGTTCTAAAACACAGTCTTGTTTGCTTACTATCCTTGACCGACCAATCTTTTCATACTGATATATATGATATTAAAAAATCAAGTTAACTACATACCATTCAAACATTAACCTTATATATTATCCATGTATGCAATATTGGTTGATATTGAGTACTGTTTCATTTCATATTAGTTACTAAATATATTTTAACTTTGCAATATTCTGCAATACTTTTTATTTTACATTGTTGGAACATTTGACTCCTAGAAGGCAAATAAGATGACAAATTTAAGGGCTATGTCACTAAGTTCTTCTGGTAAAAGATTCAAAGTACTTGTTATGTTAACAACTTGGTTATTTTTCTTTGACCTTATTATCATCTTCCTTCGTAGTCTTGCACTTCTGAAGTCTTTTGCATCCATCTATGCAGCTGGGAAGACTTTGGGTAATAAGGTTGAAGTAAACTATTTGTAACGGTCCATACTTCGGTAGTAGTGTCCAACTTTTACACATTATCTTTAAGCATGTGTATTGACTCAGAAAAAATTTATTTTCAAATCATCAAAAGGTGATAAACTTTTTGACACTATTGGATATATATTTTTATAAGCTAAAAACAGCCATTAACCTTTTCAGGTATGAACTCATTCTCATATAGGCATGACAATCTAACCTGCCCCCGTGGGTACCCGCCCGAACCTGCCCCAATTTGGACGAGGAAAACCTGTGTTTATCGGATTCGAGTTCTGATTCTAGTTCAGGTTTTCCCCAATTGATAAAATTGGGGGCGGGGACGGGGACGGGAACGTTAATACCTGTCCCGCCCTCGCCCCCATACTCGCCCCGCTTAATAACATAATTAAAAAATTATTTATATATATATATAAATCAAAACTAGAAATATTTATATGTAAAAATTTATATTATTTTACTTTTCTTTTATTTTTTTAAATTTGTTCATATTTATTTAAAAGTAAAACCCGCCCCCGCCCCGCCCTGTTCTCATGCCTGTTCTCATATCATGTCAACCAATATAAAAAATATAATAACTTGAAAAATAAAAATAAAATATTACATTAAACATAATATCCAAATATAATATATCAATATGAGAAATATAAAATAATAAACATTACATAATTTCACATTGACGTTCATAGAGTAGCAACCCAAAAAGGATGAGAAAATTCCACCGACGCACTCCCAAATGATGAGAAAATTCTACAAACAAACTCTGTTTCATTAATGAATTTTTTTTTTGTAAGATCTGTGTTTAAGAAACCAAAATGCATAACTAATATTTATTTATTTAAACAAAATTAGATGAGAAATACACACCCACTGACTGCCTATTGCTTTGTGCTGGGTGAGGATGACTTTGTAACATAACTTCTGTCCGGAATAATTATCAAGCCTAAAGTGCTGATTCGATTGTCCATGCACCAAATTCTTACTTACCCATTTTGAATCTTCAGGAAGATTAGAATATTTTTTTTCCTAATTTGTGAGTTGAACATCTCAGGTGGAATTTCTTTCTTAGTTGAAGACACCATAGATCTGCATGATTTTTTCCAAACTGTTATTTGAAAATCACTTAAGCCTATATAACATAAAATGATGAAATGGTTCTCCATAAGTCCATAAAATTGTCGTAGTTCTCGCCACTTATCAGTAATGAGGGCTATGTCTCCAACCCCTTCAACTTGAACACAATGACGATTTTCATCTTGGTCGATCAAGGTCCACCATTTTCCTAGATGATGTTTATATTCCATCCAAAAATCTTGTGCGACCATCCCAAATGGCTATTTCAATAGAATAAATCAATGAAAGTTAAATTAAAAATACAAATTTAAGACTTGTACCTTGTCCTTTCTATGAACTGTGATGAGGAAATCAACTGTTTCTCTCTGCTTTATGGGCATCGAACGGGCCATGGTTCCCTTCCCCAATATACTACAAACAAAGTACAGTGCTGACCTCGATAAGAAGGTGTTCAGCAATTATTATTACTTTAATTTATGGAAATACTGGAAGTAAAAAAAAGAATAAACAATTCGCATTTGGGCTAAATTTAAATATTATTTTGTCCGTGAAAATCATTATTGAACTTTTTGGCATACAATTTAATTAATGGCCCAATTTTTAATAATTACGACAGCTATTTTATTTATAAAGAGAACTAAAGTGCAAAAATAATATTCAATTTTCGTATTCATTGCAACATAAACTTTATATTGAATAAATAATTTATTTTAAAAAATTGAGACAATTCGAGTTATATATTGTTTTTTGTTTGATATATTTTAATTAAATTTTATTTTATCTTAAAATAAAATTTTATTACATGTTATAACAAAATTATAATATGAAAGACTTTGTGTTAAGTAGTTATCAAAGTCATTAATAATAAAAGCAAGTTTAAAAAGTTGATAATTAGAAAGTATATTTTAAACGGAAAAAAATAAGATTAGAGAATTTCTTGTCCAATAGTTGTCAAAAATTTAAGTTAACATCTTCTTGACTTCAAAGTTGGTTCAATAGAGTTTGTTTGCCCAACTCACAATCCAAAAGCACAAAGTTTTTTCTTCATTACAAAAATTTACAAAATAATAAGTACGTAGACTATAATTTTGGACATACATTATGAGCCAAATGGTTTATGGCCCCTAAATAGGTATACACACAAATTAATATGTTTAAAACTGGATTTCATTGTTTTTTATAAAACAACATTCTTTATCGGGTCTATTTTAATTGGTATCCAATTAAACAATATAAAATAGTCATCAACAATGGAACTTTGAATACATTATGTTAAAAACTTGTATTCAATAAAATAATAATAACATGAGTCGTTAAAAAAGATATTTTTTTAAAACATATGAATGATTAACCAAGAAACCGTAAATCAAATATCTTATTTCCTCCAACTCATGGGAACGACATATTGTAGAATCAGTCATACAACTAATAACATAGTACACACAGACTCAATCCAGAAACTATTACCCTTACAAAAAAGTCTTCATAACAAATAAATAACATAAATATAAAATGTAAGAAACTAAAAACGTAAATTATAACATAACATTCTACGACTTTATTTTTTTTTCAACCTTGATTTTCTTCTTCAACAACTTGAGTGGAACAGTGATATCTGGAGGTTTCATTTCATTTGCATCAATAGAGCCCTTAACTTCATCAATTTGCAGCACACCAGTCTCTAAAACCATCTGCTTTGTAACAACATCATTGTCATTTTTTCCTTCTTCTGAGTTGTAGAACCACATTCAGATGGAATTATACTAGATGAATTCTTCAACATTTTAAATCCTTCATAATTAGTATTATGGGATAGTTCTTGTTTTAGATCTGGAGATTCTTCAACATCATTGGACAAATATGTGGTTTCTTTCTCATCCATCTGAGAATCATTTTCCACAACACCACAAAACTTATTCATCAGATCTTGAGAGTTAAACATACATTAGATATCAACGATGATTTGATAGACAATGATAAACAAAAAAAGCATCATCTAACCTGGTGGAAATTAGTGGATGCATCTTCCCTTTGTGAGTCCTTAAAATTATAATCAGATGTAGCTTCCTTAAACTTCTTGATTATACACATATCAGGACAAATTTTCTTAACTCTAAAAGATTGTCCAAATTTTGGATTAGTGCTATTTTTGACTCAACCTTGAAGAGAAAAATCTTTCCTACCAAATCATAAATATCCTTTGGAACAGCTCCCACAGAACCTTGCTACAAAATTTTGGGTTTAAAAAACATTAGATACAGAAAAAATTATGGTTCAACTACAATGTTTTGCAATGTTTACTAAGTTTGAGTTAAACCTTTTCACGTTGCTCAAAAAGTTCACTACATGATTTATTGAGTAGAATAGTGGCATCACGATCAAAGATAACAAAAGTGGATGAATCCGTATCATCAATCACCCTTACTTTGATGTGGTACCTAAATAAACACATGCAATTGTAAAAAATGACTGAAAGAATCTAAACACAAACAGATCTATAATATAAACCACTTACATGTTCATGTATTGATATACACATATTTCAATTAAAATGGCAACCTTAAATAAACATTCATGATATGTTTGTTGCACTTATCACAGAAAAAACATCTTAGAGTATGGATAAACGACCCTTGCATAGTTGCAGGCAATATACGACCAGTCTTCTTCTTCAACAATGTTATTTATGGTACCAAATACCACATAACATATATCCTGTTAAACAATATCATGCTATATAAATCAAATAAGCATGAAATAATGTGTTAACTTAAAAAAAAAAAAAAGCAATTGTCATCATTAAACCTCGTTTCCATCTTTGAGACCTTATAAGGTTGTTTTGTTAGAAGAATCCAAGAACTCTTGCGACGTTGATACCTTTGCAGAGAGTTGGCTCAAATCCTGTGTAGGTGACGTACTCCATATTTTCAAACATCCTACAACATAAATAACAAAAACAAAAAAAAGGATTAAGTAATAAAAAATCAAGAAACACATATGAATAAGTAATAGCTCTACTGACGGACAAAATTCACCTTTTTGCTAGATTTACAGCTTCCTCACATTCTGCCCTGAAAATCAGCTTTGTATAATTTATACAGTTTTGCAAGTGTATTTGGTCTACAACAAATAGCATTAGTTTATACATTATTCAATTTTGTTCAATTAAAAATGCAAAAGAATAACTTTATACCTTTCCAACTTTTCACTTTTGCTAATTGTACTATAACTACAACATTTTGTACTTTTCCAGATGTAAGAAATGCATTTAGTTCATCAACATAATTTCCAAAAATAGTACATTCGATACGATCACTATTGGTAACATCAAATGAATATAAGAGTATCATATATTCTATTCACATATTAAATGTCACATATTATATATTACAGATATAAAAAAGTTTACCCATCAACCTCTAGACATATGACATTCATCTTTGTTTTGGTACCATTTTTTCATGCTCTATCTCCGTACCAACACCAGTGAGCAAACCCATCACATCCAGCAAAAATAGATATTGTTAGTACTAATTTAAAGTATTGCATAAATTCACATGTCTATTATTATATTTTTGATAAAATAATCGATCACAATTGCAAAAATACTTACCGACTCGTAATCCCAATCACCACTCTTAATCTGACTAATAGGAATAAATTGGAAAATATTTGAGGGTACTACACCATTGTCCAAGATTGTGACCTTCTTACAATATTGGAAATTAATCTTGTAGGCATGATTCGAGGTCTTAAAAGAACTTTGTTTTAGAGACAATCCAAAGCACTAAATGGAATATACGGATCCTTCTTTTATGTCTTTCTAAAACTTGTAGATTAGTGTCTTTCAGATAGAAGCATGTATTCTGTCTCTCTGCATACAAAAAATGAAATCATAGCATCAAGAAATTATAATAATTGCATATAAAAAAGTGAGCTAATGCAAAATTTAGCTTACAATCCACCAAAACCAACTCCATAGAGAAAGGGATAGCTTGCTTGTTGAAATCAGAAACTGTCCATGCACGAATTACCTTTACCCTGATTTTCCAATTTTCCTTATTAGAACATAACTCAGAAACTGTGTTGAATTGGTTGGCCATGGTTTCAAATGACTAAATGTTGCTTGCACAACTCTCCTTAGGACAACACAGTTTATATAACCTAGAAAGTAGGTTAGTAGAAAAGTCATGCATTCAAAATTTATAATAAAAAATCTACGAAATTCAAATTTGAAATGTGAGAATTGAAATATAGCAAACCAATTAATTAATGAAGCTTACTGTCGTAACATGGACTATACTATGTCCTCGACAACACAAAACATTCCCATTTTTTTGTTTATCAAAACCCTAATGAGGCAGAACAGACATTCAAATTTCAAAATCAAAATATTAAAATGATTCATTTTGAAATATGAAATTTGCAACGAAACCCTAAACTTACTTATTCAAGCTTTTTGTCATACACCTGCAAGCTACGACCTCGTCGAGAGCCCAAATAATTGCATTTCTGGTGTTTATTCAAATCCTGATGACAAAACCAAAATTTGGGGGCAGTCGCAAAGCTATAAAATTGTTCAACGAAAGAAAAGTAGGGTTAAATGGTTGACGTGCAGTACATACAGAAAAAAAATTAGGGAAAGCATAACATTTCTTCTTTCATGCTTAGATGGTTGATGTATAGTATAGGAAGACCTAGATAGGCCTGATATAGGCTTGATATTTACCTTATTTAGGACCAAAAGTAAGCAAACCATAAATATCAAATACGTAACTATCAAATACTATCCATTTGCCAAATACGTGTCAGCTCACATTTTGCAAATAAGAAATGAATGAGCTGGAGAATGAAATTTCAAGATATGGCATAAGAAAGGAATGAGTTGGGCTTATGGCTATACGAAGTGGGCTTCACGATTTTGTTCATGGTTGAATTTTTGGACTTCAATTTTGTATTTGTTTCCTTTTTTCTTTTTGTAGTTAATTTTTGAACTCTCTTTCCTCTGGTTGTTTACTCTGTTAGTGACACGTGTTTATTTTTTCCGTTTGTGATTCCTTCAATTGTTTATATTATAGATTGCCTATTAATTTCCATTTTTTTAAATTTGCATCTCTAAATTAAATTTCAATTATTTTTTAAAATAAATTGATAATAGTTAACGATAATATTATATCATACCATAAATAAAAAATTATATATTAAATTATTTATTTTTCATGAATTTAAATTATATAATTTTTATACTTAAAAATATTTATTTATTATAATTTTTAATCATATACAAATATGTATATAATTAAAATATTAGCAATGAATAACAATTAACATCTATATATTAAACACGAATATCTATCTTGTACAAGAGAATTTTAGGAGTTTTTCTTCAATGAAAGAGTTTCTAAGAATTTTTAAATATTTTTTTTATCTAATTCAATTTTTATTTGTTAAAATTATTTGTGAATTAAATATTAATATTTTAAAATAAATTATCAATAAATCTAAATAAATTTTTATTGTTACAATACAAATTATTTATCATTAATCTAAATATATTTTATATGTTTAAAAATATTTATACATACTAATTTTAAATATAATATATATATATATATTCAAATATAATAGTTATATATATATATATATATATATAATTTATTATAAATTTTAATTATATTATATATAATAAACATATGTGTACATTGTATAAATCAAAATATTAAATAATAATAAAATATGAAACTATTCATCACTTTTCAAATTCTTATAATTTATATCTATTTACAAAATTACATTAATGTGATATTTTATTAGTTATGAAGAAATTTCTAACAACTTTAATTTAAAATGATCATCTATCTATTTATTTATATTAAAAGAAACAAAGATTTCTTTAGTTTAATTTTTAATAAACTTCAAATAATTATAAATAAAAAAAATGTGTGTTAAAAGAGTCTTTTTTGCTAATTTTTCTTTTATCATTATGAGCATTGGATATTAAAAGAAAATTATACTAAAGACTAATTCTCTTGGTAGAGATGAATTTAAGAAGAAGAAGGAGGAGAGGAGTGGATTTGAAAGAAATGATAAAAAGATAATTTCACTCGATACTAGGAAAAGAAGGGAATTTGAGTAAAATTTAAGTGAATTCTACCTGAACAGTAATTACTTTTAAAAAAAATAAGAGAATTTGAACATAATTATATTTAAAGACATTAATACCATTATCTCTTGTTCAACTACTCATAACTATTTACTCATTTTTACTCTCTAACCTCATATTTGAATATGCAAGCCTATTCTATTATGGTACCTCATATTCGAATAAGAAAAAAATCACATCTAAATATTACAAGACTATTTTATTATGAATATCTCATTCAAATATGTTGTGTATGAATATTATATTTCAATAAGTTATCACCCTAATGCATTATCTATATATTAATATCAAAGATTAAAATGATAATTTTATATTTATTTAATTTTATATAAAATTTTAACTTAATAAAATATAATTTTAAACTATTAATTCATCTCTATTTCTTATATAATTTTACTCTACCAATCAATTATAAATTTTATTTTATTTTGTATCAAATTAATTTTCCGTATGATTCTCTCCACTTCCTCTCTTCTATCAAGCAGGGCAAAGGATCCTATACAGCGGGGAATGAATTTCTTATTTGTCTCACTTTTTTAGGTCCTAGCTAGGCTTCTATTAATTGATAAAATTATAAAACAAAAATAAAAAGGTGGAGACAAACTTCCGTGAAAAACGGTGAAAGCATCCCCTTCCTACCCTTGGATTTGATTTGATTTGACCTTTGCAATTAACCATATTTTTTTCATAAAATTTTGTTTTTTTCTTTTTGATAAAATTGCAATATATACGCGTTTAAGATTCCCAAGTAAATAATGGTGTTCTTACCTTGGATTAAAACGAAAATAGAGAGATCAATTCGTTAATCATAGAATTTCATCCTAGAATGTCATATATGTACTAAGTTAAAGTTCCAAAATCCATATTAATTTGTTCCATGTTCAATTCAATGAGGAAATTCACTACAGTGATCTTTTTCATTGAATAAAAAGTTTAAGGAACTCGTGTTCCAAGAACTTATAAGAATTAGAGTAGGCTAAGACCTTATTAACACCTACAAATATATAGATTATCCATGGATTAAACACCCCACATTGACCTCAAGACCCTAAACCCTCAAGACTATAGTAACTTCTCAATTCAACTAATAAAGAATAGTGTTAGATTCTTGGCAATTAATTACCAAGTCCTTTTTTTTTTCTCTTTCCTATTGTGGGTAACATTTAATTCACTCTTTTTTTTTAAGGCAAAAAATCATTTAACAAGTAAATATTTTTTTAATTACAAGGAGTGTTCAAAAGAGCTTACAATATTATCAGTACAGATTAAAACACTTATAACACAAAATAAAGCATGATGAGTAATACAGAAAAAAAATCTCACCCCAAACATTACAAAAAAGATAAGCCACTAGAGATTAAAGATTTTTATCCTTACCAGACTTTTGATACAATAATCTGGTTACCTAATCTACTCATAGAAAGAGAAAGTTGAATTTTTGCAGAAATCTCGAATCCATAACCAAGATATTTGCAAGACATCTTGTCACACTGATTCCACATGGAATAGTCTTCCTTTGAATAAAGTCGCATTAATTCCTTGTTAACTAGATAGATCATAAGGTTGTCAGCTAAATTACATATAAAACCTTACTATCTTTATTCTCACTCTCCAACCCAAAATGATGCCACATATGTGAAGTACGTCTAAGAGTATGACCCCTAAATACCCTAATCAACAATAACAGTTTATTCATACCTGATAACTTAATAGATCTAATTCCCTGTATTAAAGATTAATCTAGTTTGTAATGTCATGATTTTTAATTTGTGAAATCAGAGATTAATTTCAATGGCAATAATATATGACTGTTCTTAGCCGTAAAGGTTCTTCCATAGTCAAATACAAAATGAAGTATGGAACAATGTACGTAAGATTATCTATATCTATTGTATGAAAAGCAAGGGTAGGGTGTGTGCAACATGGTGTTGAGTTGGACTGGCAGATACAGTTTGATCTTTGGCTGTAGTTAGGGCTTCCCTTCCCATTCCCAACCTCAACCTCTTTAAAATATGCAAACCCATTGGATTGAAGCACCAATGACCTAATCCATTTGCTTCATGTGTTAGCCACGTACCTAATCGATGCAAAACATTTTGAAGATTAAGTGCACTATATGTTTCGTTTACCATGATGGTG